TGTTGGCAGAGGAAGCTCTTAGCGTAAGGCTGCCTTAGTATCTCAGCACAATATTGATTCATCCATTAGGTGAAGGACAGAAAGTCCTTAAAGAGTCCTTAAAGAGCTTAAAGCAAGTTGCATGAAAAGTTCCCTACAGTAAAATCATGTTAATCTGGAAATATTGTGGTCAACAGTCCAAGTGCTTGGCTTAACTGAAGTCATGATGCCAAGCAAGTGATCTCTTAACCAGAAATCATGTTTCTGGTTCAGGCTGTAGGTAGTTAGGCAGTTAAGCCTATTTGAACCTGAGCTGAAAATACTGGTCTTGGTTTTCCTGCTATCAAAGAATTGCAGGAGTAGCCGAGTGGTGGGAACATCACTACTCCAGACCTTACTGATAGAGGGAATTGCAGACAGCCTCACTTGTCAAGCAAGGTAGGTCAATATCCCTTTCAGTTGTATTTCTTACAAGACTAACCATGGGGCCTTGAGTTAGACTTAGCAGTATAAGAATCTGTATTTAATCATCTTTCTGGCAAAGGATGCTGCTCTTGCATTCCAGACATGGCATAAACTGGAAGGAAACAAATCCCAAGCCGTCTATGATCTCTTCTACCACTTGTCTTCAAGCAGGTACTTGTTATGTTGAAGTGTGAACAATACATGTCAGGCTTAATCTACCTGTAAGGCTAGTATAGTTAATGTGTTGTACACTAATCACTGGCTATGCTAGCTCCTAGCTGCCTAATTTTATTATTTTAATAGAGGAAGCAAATATAATGCTTGCATCTGAACAAGCAGCTGGAATTTTCCATCTAAATCATAGTAATATTGTGTCATGTTACAGAAGGTTTATTCAACCTGAACTCTTAGACACTGTCAGACGTTAGAGCAATCGGTGTTCTAGTAAAGAACAAAATACTTAGGATATTTTGTTTGACTACTCAGCATGAATGACCCTGTTTAAAAGGCAAAAGTCTGAATAGCACATTCATGTTTCTGATTTATTGACACATGCCTAGTGCCTCTTAAAGCTACTTGGGGCTCTACTATTGCATCAGGAACTAGGCAGAAAATGTGGTAGTCAGTTATGCACATGGAGATTTGTTAGATGCAAAGGTAAATCAATCGTACAAGGGCTCACACAAATGCCCTATTATACTTCCTATATGGGTAGAATGCTGCTAGTCAAGATAGTTCATTATTAGTAAATGTATGTGGCTTTACGGATTTGACTTGCTAGTCATTGTATGTATTGCTGTTTAGTTTTTCTATTTCCTCAGCCTGAAAAACTGAAGTCTTGAATTCACTCAAGTGGACAGCTTGTTTATCAGCCTTCTGTAGATAGTTCTCCTATCATTAACTTGATGGCTAGAGAAATTTCTAAGGATATGTTGTGCAGGTCCTGATACAACCTTCTAACCAGAAGAACTTGACTAACTCCTCAAGAAGGTGGGGGAGAGGGAACAACCTGCTTTGGAAACATGTTCAGCACTTGTACCGGAAGCACAGCTATAGTTCTACTTCATCCTAGCAAGTTACATTGCACTTGACAATAAAAGCTTCTCTTGTCCTCTTCTGGCCTCTCAGATTCTAATTCGAGGTTAATATTTACATGCAGTAACCTTTCAAGCTGAATCACATACTGGCAGTACCAAGGGACAAAGAAGGAGCACAAGCTGTGAAAAATACAAGGTATTAAACTGCTGAGCAGGTGTTTAGTTTATCTGCTTTGCCACTGAGTTTTTCAGGTTAACTAACCTCTTCTCAGACAAGTTTTCACCAACACTGAGGCAACTATCTTTGTCTGAGAGGAAAAAGCCTGTCTGTTGGGTGAGGATTATTGTCCAGGCTTTAAATCCAATGTCAGACTGCAGCCATAAGGAAGATTCTCAATGTTCTGTGCACAGGACAGAAATATAGTCATTAAGGATAGCTGTCATGTTGGTCCCATTTGCACAAATAAGGGATAATTGTGAAAGCATCTCTTAAGGTAAATGAAATGTTTCTCAACAGAAACTTGAAGTCTTGCTAAAGCTTGAAGTCTTGCTAAGAAACAGGTATTTCAAGGGTGACTTATCGCTACCAACAATTTTCCTTGTAGGGAGTTCAGAGGAGAGACATCAACAGCACAGTATGCATGAAGTCATAAGACTGACTTTCTCAGGGGACATGTGTGGAAAATAATTATAATACTTGAATGTAGAGCTGTCTAACTTGAGACAATAGGTAACAGCTCTTACTTCAAGACCTATGTGTTGAGGACATAAAATGTTGTGTATTTAGTGATACAGGCAAGCTTGGGACACTTGTTCCAGGGTAGCAACATCCATAAATCTGCAGTCTAAGACTTTTGAATAGTGCATTTAGCAGAGTAGTTAAAATGGGCAATACTATTGCATAACAAGTAATTAAGCTGAGGTGATAGCAACAGACTTATGTGTACATGGAGAAGATTCAAAAGCCATCACTTCAGTCTGCTGGCATATGTTGCTGTGGGAATTATCTTGTTCCTCACTATGCAAGGCATGGTTGTCCTTGCATAAAAGCCCATGCATCTCTAACCCTGCCTTACTGCTTGGCTGGCTTTTTTCAGATTAACTCAGAACTTGTGTGTAACAGAACAATTCTAGTCTCATGTTGCCTTATTCCTGCAGTCTGAGTAAGGAAATACTACAGGAATGAGTAGTGTGAAAAAGAGCCTTCAAGCAAGTGCAAGAACTACAAACAGAAGATTTTAGCTTCATTTTAGCTACTCACATGTAGAGCACATCAACATTTTCTGTTATAAACCAAACTGAAGTGTGACAAAGACCTTATGCAGCTTTAACCTGGGTCTAAGCATGGAATCACAATTTAGTTGTGGATGAAACTCATGTATGCCAGGTTAGATTACTGCTAGCTCTAGCTGAATAATGTTTCTTCCTACCCCAGTGAAATTGGAAGGAAAATCTTGAGGTGGTTTTGTGCTAGACATGTGGCTTAACTAAGATGTCAGGAAGTAATTATATAATATACAAACATGCATTCTTAGTTTCTCAAATTTTCTTTTTTCCAGAGATAGGATTCTCAAAGATGCTGAGCTCTCCAAAGATATGATAAACAACTGTCATACACTGTGAGCTCTCACCAGGTGAGCTGAGCTATGCCAGACCTCAGATAGGACAGGATGTCCTGTAAACTGGCCAGAAAGCCCTCACTCACCTTCTCAAATTGCATTGCTAGCACTAAGAATGAGATTCTCCATAGTAAGACTGGTATTTGCAAAGATTCAGCCAGATTCATGTGCATCCCTGCTCATCTTACTCCACCTTGGGATTTTGTGCTGTCAGGCTCTACAACTAAGTGATCCAGTTTCCATAGGATGGAAGCACTTAATCTTTTCCGTGGGCATGCCTCTTTTTAGCACTGGTGCAAGTATCTGGCAAAATCCCTGTTGGCTTTAATAGTTTTCCCCTTTGCTCCTTTGTCAGAATGGGCACTCAAACCACTCTTCCTGTGGTAACACTTCCTAAATTACTATAGCTTGCTATAGCAACTCTAAGACCTACTTTTTCTCAGAACCACTTCACATCTTCATAGAGCACCTTTGTTCCCTTGCATCAGGTGTTCCCTAGCTGTGGCCTGATAAATTCCTTACAGAGGAGAAAAGATGTAGTTCCCAGAGGTGTTTCCCATATAAACACTTTTATTTTTTATTTACTTGAGCAATGCTAAATGCAATTTACAAACCACCTGGTAAGTAGCTAAATCTAACTTTGTGTGTATTAACAGTAGGTTCCCTAAAGCCCTCCCTCATGGCTAAATGGAAATAGAGGCCTTAAGAGTAAAATTCTCTCTTAAAAACATAGGAATTTGTGTTCTTCTTAGGTTAAGAATCTGTGCGGCATTGATGTCCATTAGTCTGTTAGTGGCAGGCTGGATGAGTCTGTCTTGTAGATAATGACTCAGAAATTGAGAGAAGAGGGGAAGGCAAGATTGAGAACAAAGCCTTGAAAGGAAATTCCAGGTATTTGATAAAGAATTAGGCAAATGTAGAATGGGCTTTTGAGAATATCAAGCTTCTATGGCCAGAGGATACACAATGCTTCAGCACTTGTATCTAGGTACATGGTAGGTCTCAAATGTTGTGCTGGATAAAAGAGACTAACTGAAGCCACTGAAATATCTCAGACAGAAGATTCATAGAACAGTTTCTGTAGCAGATGTGAATGTCCAGTTCTTTCTGGCTGGGTATAGATCATCTTCAGAATTTCATGGAGACAGTAGGAGTCATTCTGTTTGGGAAGTGCTTTAGGTATGAAGGAGCATGGTGACTGCAGACTTTTTTTTTTTAATGGATCTTGTATCTCAGAGGCAAAAGTGCTTCATGGCATAGGGTTAAGAGAGTTAAGTCATATTAGTCCATAGTTTCTGCTTATGTGCAGGTTTTCTTAAAAGTAAAGTTACTTGATTGCTGTTAAGGTAAGGGTGTGAGGGTTTTGTTGTTGTCTCTTTCATGGAGCAGTCTGTGTGCAGCCTAAAGAATTTGTTCACTTTTATCTATTGGGTGGTATAACATCAGACTTCCGCTAATTATAGAAACCTGAATAAAATCCAGTGTCTTCTTTTGGGTATTCTGGTGTCTTCTTCATGGGTGTTTGGAACAGATCTTAGAAAATAGTTCTTGCATTCTCTCCTTTGCTACTACAGAGATTCAGCTGGTAATGCTGAAGGAAAAGAGAACAAAATATCTGAAGTTCTATAAATAGCTTTAAAGGGTAAAAAGCTAAAGGCTAACAGGTTAAACAAGATGATTCAAGTACAGCCTGTGGATATAGGTCAGTGTGACCTACTGGTTACGTATTACTGGGGTGATGGTTCATCACCTAATGGCCATATCTTTGTAGCCTTAGAGGAATAGTCAGGAATTCAGATTCTATATTATCACTACTAAAGCTTTCAGGCATTAGTGGGCTTTAGTGTTCAGCAGAACAAAACTGGACTAACAGGTCAAATAAGAATATTTCTTCTTCAAGGTAAAATTTTAAATCTTCCTACTAATTATTTTGATTTTTAAAAACCACAGCAAAAATAGCTGGCCATCACTTCATCATGTCTACTGAAGATGAAACTAGTACTATCAACATCCCACCTGAGCAACAGACTCCACCGAAAGCACAAAATTCAAAGAAAGAAAAAAAAAAAGGTAAGAAATGCTTACCTCTAAACACCTCCTCTAGTCAGTGTCCTTTATCTTTTGCAGTTGCCTGAAACTAAGATCACTCGCACAGCATAGTTAAAATAACTCTGAGGTTTCAAGCTGGCTGAAAATGTGAGTAAATAAGCTAGAAGTCAAGCTTTTAGCTTCAAAGATTTTTTTTTCTAGCTTTAAGTTCTAAAGCTCTTAGTTTGCCTGTCAAGTTCAGCAAGTGAGGCATTTAACAAATTACCAAAAAGCCCAGTGAAGTCAAAGCCTCCTGAGGAGGTAATCAGACCTAGGACCATCCAAGTAGCTCAGTCTGAACCTGAACTCATTGCCTTACCTCCTTCCAGAGAGGGGGTGATATGATACAGATTCTAGTCCAGAGAAGTTAGAAAACTCACTTAATGAGAATTATTGTAGATGAGATAAATAGAGTTTTTGATAGATTAGGTCACGTAAATGTAATTGCCTCCTACAGAAATGCATGCCTTGGTATGCACTCAAAGTATTGATCATGCAGAGAATAAAAGCAGTTCAGAGAAGTAGTGGCAACAGCAGAAATATCAAATTCACTAAAATCCCAGATTAATACAGGAATAGACATACCAGGGCTTATTGTAGAAATGATGGTTCTGATAGAAAGTTTGAGCGCAAGAAAGAGATTATTGCACAACAAGAAGAAATGTGACTGTACCAGAACTGTGGGCTAACAATCTGAAAGGCTTATTGGAAATAACATATGGTCATGGGAAGGAAGTACCATTTCTGCTTGATGTTTTTTGCTTAGCACTTATATCTGCATGGTTGTTGCCTATAAATACGTCAGTATTTTATGTGCCAAACAGTTGTTTTGAATTCCCCAAATATTAAGCATTGGGCTCCACTCTTTGAACTGAGGCCAGATTCTGTAAGAGCACTGTGACCTTAAAAGAATAACTGTCTTGCAGTTCACCCATTATTGGAAAGACTAAGGGTTGTTAGTCAGCAATACTCAAGGTACAATTTTAATATGTACATACATGGTACAGTTTTTTAAATGTTTCGAAGCCACCACATAGATATTTCTAAAAACAAACAAACAAACAAACAAACAAAAAACCAAACCCACAGACCCAAAAATTTTTTTCTGTTTCCAGGACCCGAAAAGACTTATGAATCTCTCTTGGGCAGATTCAAAGGTGATGGTGTAAGATACAAAGCTAAACTGATTGGCATTGATGATGTACCAGAGGCAAGAGGAGACAAAATGAGTCAGGATTCAATGATGAAACTGAAGGTAAGGGCTTCAACTGGCACATCAGAAACAAATCTTAGGTGCCCTTCAGAAAGAAGATCAAATGGTGATTTTGGCATAACTTGAAATACAGCTTCATGGTAACAGTAATAACAGTCATAACTCTGTGCTCAAAGAAATGTGCTACCCAAAGAACTTGAACTACTCCTTTGGGTCTCTTTTTAGGCATTCAGTGTGGATGATATTCGTATGAACTTAATCACAAAAAGCAAGCTTGGGTTTTGAGTGGGGAGAGGAGAGCTCTGTGCAATATAACAATGACCTCAGAGCACAAGTTGGCATCCATTGGCAATAGTAACACCAAGAGATACAGATAAGTTAAAGAATAAATGAGATCTTGCAGCAACAAAAAATATTCCTTCTGAAATATTCACAAAGCTTCAATCAGGCCAGGAAAGCTGGTAAAGATGCTGCTACTGCAGCAGTTCTTTGAGCTAAGATAAGTTTAAAGCTCCAAAACAGTTACAGAGCAATCTACACAATCTAGTTCTGAGGTATCACTTCAAACCTACTCAGGCATATGTTGCAAGAGGAATGCTGCACTAGCTGCACAGTTGCATAGGAATAACTAGATTAGTGCTAGTACAGTCACAGCCATCAGTTCATGAGGAATGTAAGGAAATTATTTAAAGTTCAGTCTAGCAGAAATAACTATAATACTTTAGTATTAATTGTTTTTAGGGAATGGCAGTGGCAGCTCGTTCCCAGGGTCATCACAAACAGAAGATCTGGGTGAACATCTCCCTCTCTGGTATCAAGATAGTAGATGAGAAAACTGGGGTAAGATACCATTTATTCTCTTACTGTGATTCTTAAAGTAAATGAAGTGTTGGGAAGTTAGATCAATCCAAACTAGGTTCCTTAATGGCATCATGCCCTCCTCCCACATATAAAAACTGGCTTGTGAAATGGGTTGTAATGTTGAAGCTTCTGGCCAGAAAGATAACTACATCCTATTGCCATTAGTCAAAGGCTGATAAATCTGAGTCTTGAACTGCAGCCTTCTAGCAGTCTCCATCATTCTACTACATCTACTACAGAGAACAGCAGCTATTGTGTCTCCAGCAATTTAAACCAATAGCTATTTTTTTCTAGGTCATAGAGCATGAACATTCAGTAAACAAAATCTCCTTTATTGCTCGGGATGTAACAGACAATCGTGCTTTTGGCTATATATGTGGAGGAGAAGGCCAGCATCAATTTTTCGCTATAAAAACAGCACAACAGGTATGGTTTAGACACCTTTTCCACTTGCTGTGAGTGATGGTATTGTTTAAGCACCTAACATGTGATACAGGGGTAGTGTTTTGCTGGCAGCCATATGAGGCATAGGGAGTTACCAGTACCTTCTGCCTTGAGGAAGGCAGCAGGAAGAGACTGTATCACCAAGGGCTTCTATCTTGTTCAGCTCCTCTGTAGTCCAGAAAAAAAAACATTCAAGTAGCCTTGCTTGCTATGATTAACCTTGCTTGACATGTCTGTGCACCATGGAAGGTGTTAGTAAGCTGAACAGAGACATTATCATAGAATTGTTTTGGTTGAAAAAGACCTTGAAAATCATCAAGTCCAAGCATTAACATAGTACTACCATGTCCACCACTAAACCATATCTCTAAGCACCACATCTACACAGCTTTTAAATATCTCTTTGGGATGGTGACCACTTTCCTGTGCAGCCTGTTCCAGTGCCTGTTAACTGTTTCAGTGAAAAAAACTTCTTATTATCCAATCCAAACCTCCCCTGGCACAACCAGAGGCCGTTTCCTCTTGTTCTATTTCCTGTTACTTGGGAGAAGAGACCAACACTCACATTGTCATGGGCCATTTACTGTCAGTGAGAAAGTTAATTATTTAGTCAAATATCCATATCTTCATAAAACCATAGAATGGTTAGGGTTGGAGTACAATCACTTTCCCTGTGGAGTTAACAGTTCTAAGGTGGTTGTGCCTCATTATCCTTGGAGACTCTATAAGCTCTCTTGTGTGAAGACTAGAGAGTCCTTTAAACTCTTGCTTTTCTTAATATCTCAACTTCACTGATGCACCATTTAGGCAAGTTTAGCTTGCTGCACAGCTTGCTTCAGTAGAAGCCCAGGGAGCAGAAGTACGTCGCCTAAAATCAACATTGTTTTTCAGGCTGAGCCTCTAGTTGTTGATCTTAAGGACCTTTTTCAACTAATATATAATATGAAGAAGAAGGAGGAAGATGACAAGAAAAAGGTAAGAAAATTACAGAAACTGTATTTCTGTGTAGAAATATGGGTTGGTTAAGCTTTGGCTTGGCTTTTGGACTCCTTTAGATTTGACACTGAGGTGTGTCTCAGTATAGGATCACTTAAAGCTCTTGGTTGGTAGTTGTACCAGCAGTTTGATTACTTCCTAGATCTGGTCAGCTCTCCAAAGTGAGAGGCTTTGGGTATTCTACATGATGTATAGGTACTAAAAGCCTTCTTTTCTTCCTTAGAGCGAAGAAGCAAGTAAGACTGAGGTAAGTCACACCAATTCGGCCTCCCTGGATTAGGTATACAGCTGCAACACAACTAGCTTTTGCTTCATTTATACTGCTAGCATTGTGGAGGTAATGTTAGGTGCCCAATTACATTTGGAGTAAAATGGGCCCAATAACTAGTACTGTGTAGTGAGTTCCCTTATGCTGCTGCTTTCCATCTCTTCCTCTTTGAAGCCTGCAAGTCCCTTGCTTGAGGCAGGTTTTGGTATTCCAATTATTGCTGACACTGCTATCCATCTATTACAGGAAGGTAGTGAAGCACTACCTGCTGATGAAGCTGACAAAATGAAACTGGTAGGTTACAATTTAAAATTTGATGCTGATAGTAATAAGTATTTTATAACTATCTCCACACATTGTGTGGAAAATGCAGTATTTATAAATGTGCTTAGAGTAGATCTGCATAATGCTTGATTCTTGATCTTGCAAGAAATCTCTTGATTCTTGATCTTGCAAGAAATCTAACAGGTATTGATTCTTTCAATATTTCTGGTTTTAAGGGAGTTGACCAGATGGAGTTGTTTGGGGATATGTCGACACCTCCTGATATGAGCAGTCCCACAGTAAGTAAAACTTAGCTGTCTTGGTTCTTGCTTTGAGAACAAACTTAGTCTTAGTAATAAGATCTGGTTTTACTTTATTAGGCCTGGATTCTGGTTTCACTGAGACATCTGTCCAGCTATTACCAGTGTACTAGTGTCTTATGGTTGTAATGGTATCTGTGTACTAACTAGAGTATCTAATGTCTTTCTTATCCAGCAGAGTTCACTTGAGACTGTGTGACAGAGATAATCCTGTATTGTTTGTCACAGAATCATAGAATGGTTTGGGTTGGAAGGGACCGTAAAGGTCATCTGGTTCCAACCTCCCTGCTATGGGCAGGGTCACTTTCCACTAGACCAAGTTGCTCTAAGACCCATCCAACCTGGTCTTGAACACTTCCAGGGAGGGAGCATCCACAGCTTCCCTGGGCAACTTCTTCCTGTGTCTCACAATCAAGACCTTTTATCCCAATATGTGATCTAAATCTACCCTCTTTCAGTGTAAAACTATTGTCCCTTTTCCTGTCAGAACATTGTGAAAAATCCCTTTCCAGCTTTCCTGTAGGCCCTCTAAAAGTACTGGAACATCTCTATAAGTCTCCCTGGAGCCTTCTCTTTTATGCTAAACAGCCCCAACTCTCTTAGACTATCCTCACAGGGGAAGTGCTCTAGCTCCTTGATCATCCTCATGGCCCTCCTGTGGACCAAGTCAAACAGGTCCATATCTTTCTTATGCTGGGGGCCACAGAACTGTACACAGTACTCCAGGTGAGGTCTCATGAGAGCAGAGCAAAGGGGGAGAATCACAAACTGTGATCTGCTGGCTACATTTCTTCAGATGCAGCCCAGGATGCAATTGGCTTTGCCTTTTCTGTGTGAATGCATCTTGCCAGTTAGTGCTTGGTTTTCCATCCACTGTTACTTCCAAATGCTTGTCCACAGGGCTGCTCTCAATCCATTTTCCACCTAGCCCGTATCCATGTTTGAGATTGCCAAGACCTATAGGATAGGACCTTGTACTTGGCCTTGTTGAACTTCATGAGGTTCACACCAGCCCACCTCTATAGTCTGATGTCTTAGAAATGTCTCTGCTGCTGTGGGAGCTATTACCAAAACTCTGCTAAAGATCTTTAAAGTTAATACTCATTTTAGGAATAAGTGAATTCTTAAGTCCCTCAGAGTGGACTCCTGGCCATTCTAAATGAGCCCTAGCTCAAAGTATGGCCTAACTCTATAGAAGTGAATGAAAAATATGTCATAGTTCAATATAACTCAAAAAAAGCCTATGCCCTTATTCTGGCACCATAAGCCATGATTAGCCATGATATAATCACTGCTTTCAGTCCAGCTAACAACCATCTTACTGCCTGCTTGGTAGAAAGGTGACATGTTAATATATTCCACCAGCATATAGCTCTCCAGTCTTACTCAGAAACTGTGACTGCAACTTTAAAGTCTCATTGATGTAATGTGGTTTCATAACTTCTCAAAACAAAAGACTAGAGCTCAAACAGAAAGCCTAGGTGTAACTAGTGCTTCATGACTCTGTAGTTTCTAGGCTGTAGAACAAGCATCTGACATTTAACAAAGAAATCTTAAAACAAGTGCTTTTGTCATTGAGTTTCTGAAACTAAGTAGATGTGATTTGACCAAAACTAGTAATGTTTGTCTTAATGACTTATAAGATGAAGGTACAGTGCAACTTCACTGTGACACTGAATACACTGAATTTTTATTAGTATAACGTATTGGATACTAGGATCTCTTTTATAGCTGTTCTTGAGCATGTAAGTCTTACATAAAACTAACTTTTTTTCTTTCTGAACAAATAGGAAGCTAAAGAGATTCTGTTAGTGGATCTAAATTCTGAAATTGAGACCAAACAGACTTTTACAAAAGAGGACTTCTTCTCGAATGACATCGCAACCCCTCTTCCACAACCAAAGCTGCAGACACGCTTCTTGTCTGAGAGTTCTTTCTCTGCCAGTCTCACCTTCTTTCCCACACCTAATCCAGACCCTTTCCGTGATGATCCTTTTGCACAGCCACAACAATCAACACCTTCATTTGATTCTCTGAAATCTGCTGATCAGAAGAAGGAAACTCTGAGTACCTTGGCATCGGTGGGTAATGGTACTTCAAATGGTGATATTGACTACTTTGGTAAACAGTTTGACCAGATTTCTAATAGAACTGGCAAACAAGAAGCACTGACAAGCCAGTGGCCACTTGAGAGTAAGTCTCCTGCAGCAAGAACGCTAAATGGGGTACCCGAGAGAGAACAGAATGGCTTTCTTAAAGGCCCATCAAACCTGTGTGTGGAAGGTCCTTCCAAAGAAGTATCTCTGCAGAATGGAGTAAAGCTGGATTCTGAAAGCAATTTCCAGCTCATGCCACATGAGTCTATAACAATTAGCCCACCACCACAAAGTACCAAGCCAGGAAGAGGAAGGAGGTCTGTCAAGGTGAACAATATTCAAGTAAATAATTAAAAAATCAAATAACATGCATGTTCTTATTTAGAGGAGCTGGGTGAAGGAAGCTTTTCTTCGTACTGTATAGCTGGCTAAATAGCTTTACAACACATCCACTTCTACCTGCCTTGCTTGCTCTAACCTCTTTGCAGGCTTGGTACGTTCTAACATTCATGAGTGCTTCACAGTAGCTATGTTTACTAAATTATATACTTTCTTCTTTAATGCTGCCATACTTGTCTAAAGGTCTGGTAAGTATGCTGCTTTGCATATTGACACTTGATACAGTGCCAGAACCTGTTATGATAGCTGTATGCCCATCAACCTGCATTTTGTAACAACAACGTAATAGTGCTTACAGAAACCTATGTAGTTTCTCAGTACTTGTCTACTGAGGGCAATCTCAGTGACTTGCTTGATTAGAAACAGGGTGGCTCTGGGTGAGATGCATTCATCCTGCACTCAAATGATGCAAAACTCTATTGCTGACCTTACCATAACTGCAGAGATCACTGCAACTGGGCAGGAATGTTTATGGGGGGGTGGAGGTCAGAGGGGAAGCTCATTATAATAGCAAATAATTCAGTCACTAAGTCTTATTCTTCTGCTGTTGACTTGTGACTACTATGCATTGTACCTACTTAGTGCTGTGCATCTGTGTAGGCATGATTAAAATAGTGAGGCTAGAAACTCTTGATCTCTTAAGTATATAGCAAAGCACTATGCTCTAACTAAAATGAAGGCTTGTAGCTCTGGGCTAAGGAGTCTTGATCATGCTAGCATGTGTTCTGCCATGCCATCTCACAAAGTATTATGTTGTTTTTTTTTCTAGACTGCATCAAGTGATTTATTTAGCTCAGACTTCTTTGTGACAAGTGCAGAGAACCTTAACTCGACCCCAGTGTCACAAACCGGATCTGTGTCTTCTAGTCCACTGGACCTCTTCAAAACAAATCCTACTGTAGCACCTCCATTGGCTGGTCTAGGTTAGTTCAAAAAGTGAAGGTCTTGCTCCAGTCTAAGATATCTGGTGACATCAAAACAAGGAAGTTTACTTTTCCTTTACATCATGTGTACTGCCAGGCCCTTTAATCCATGTGTTGTCTGCCCTAAACTGCTTAGTTATGTGAATAGAGGTCTCAAATCTGCATTCCTTAACTGGAAAAGTTTTTTTTCTGCTTAAACTTTGACACCAGATTGCTGCTTCAGGTTCACAAGATTCAAATGAGCCAAATACAACCTGGGAGGCAATGGTAACACTGCTGCAGAATCTTAATAATAACTTACAGACTAGTAACTATACAGCAAGTGCATCTGTCACTTCTGTGCTAAGACTGTGTTCCTCCTTCTGTTATACCAACCTCAATTCTGTTCATTCAGGACTAGCCCCCTCATCTCCTCTTCCCCACAATTGACTTGATTTTTAAGTGTAAATCAACAGATTTTTGCAAACAGTACATGAAAATTGTTTTGCTGGTACCCTCAGTGGAGTTTATAGACTTCTGCTTGAGGTCTTCATATCACTGAAGTGCTGTAACAACAATCTCCCTCCTCGCAGGTGGCTTGTCAATAACTTCATCACCATGGAGTGTACAGGCACCTGTCTTCACTCAGAAGGCATCAGTCTTTCCTGGGTCTATGATGTCTGCTCAGCCTACAGGATTTACTCAACCACTTGCCTTTGGCACTCAAGCACCTCCAAGCTGGAACCAGCCTCCATCTTTTACTCCAGCAGCTACTCAGTCCTCTGGTCTCTGGGCACAGCCAGCACAAGTTCCATCTAGTCCATGGGCACAGCCACCTAGTGCTGGAAATCCTTTCCAGAGTAGTGTGTTCCCATCTTCAATGCTGCCTGCTCAGACACCATCTGTACTGCCCTCTGTGTCAACAACAACTAGCCCACCTCAGCCACCACCTAGAACTGTACCTCAGAAAGAGCTCTCCAAGAAAGAGAGTGATGCTTTTATTGCTTTGGATCCACTTGGCGATAAAGAGATGAAGGATGTCAAGGAAATGTTCAAAGACTTCCAGCTGACAAAGCCACCTGCAGTACCAGCAAGAAGAGGAGAGCAGCAGAGCATTTCAGGTGCTTCTGGAGCTTTCAGCAATTATTTTAGTAGTAAAGTAGGCATTCCTCATGATAGTACAAAGTATGACAGGGAAGCTAGCAAGCTGTCTGCCAAAATGACTGGGAACATCTTTTTTTCTTCTGCTCAGAGATTAGGGTAGCCAATCTCTAGTCTCTTCTGATAGAACAAAAAATTTTATTTAGCAGTTACTGAAACAGAAGGTTGAAGGACTGTCGCTTAATGTTGTAGAATCAATAAACGTCAGTGAGCAAACACTGACACCTAGTGCTTAAACAGCTTGGGGTAAACCAGGTCTGTTCAATCTTCAAAATCCCCTCTAGTGTCGTGAGAGACAAGCAGGAAATAAAGGCACTCTAAGAAACTTGCGTAGGTTTTTTATCTAATGGGATGATCTTTGGCATTGCTATACAGGCAGAGCTGAGTAGTTGTTACGCTGTTAAGTGGTTGTAACAGTGTGTCTTTTCCTTAGAACCACCAAAGCCTGTTCCCCGACAAAGTGTTTTGCCAGCTGATAGCCTGTTTGAAAGTGAAGATACACCAGACCATTCCAATGACTCATCTGTAAGTAGTAATAAATAATTATAAAACCCAACAAAATAAAATAAAATAAAATAAAAAAACACAAAATCCCAGCCTTTCTTCTTAACAGAGGTGCCTGTATTTGAGCATGGCCTTTGTTCTGGCTTTAGAGGCCATGGAACAAAATTTCTTGCATATCTAAATTAAAATTTAATCCAACAGAGAGCATTTGTTTTAAGAAGGCTGACAATATATGTTTCCATTTGGCTTGAGTCCATAGCCCAGTTCCCCAGGCTGCCAGCCCTAGTAGGAAGTTTTTCAGTGTTGGCAGCTTCTATAAAGAGTGTAAAATGCAGCTGCAGAAGTCTTCCACTTAGATTATACTCACTGTTCTGCAAAGCAGACTGGGTAGGGCAGACTGTGCATCTCTCCTGCTGAATGGGAGGCTCCCATGTTCAGTACCCCCTGGGAGAGGTTGTCACTCAATTTGGGACACAGCACTTGAAGTCCTTGGTGAAAACCCTGGATCAATTCCAGAATACTGACTTAAGACATCTAGTGTTTGGCTAAAACAGATCTCATCATGACTACGGTGGCTTGGGTCCAAATGAGTGTTCAGTAAGCACACATGGCTCTTCTGGAAGATATCTTAGGCCTCAGGCTAGGATAACTGCTAATATGGTGTGAGAGCCCTTTTCTCTTATTAAAGCAGTAGTGTTAATGCATATTTTGTAGGGGCCCTGCAGTATTCTTTCCAGAAGGGGCTTGAAACAGGAACTAGATGTATAGCCATGGAGGGTAAACG